CATTCTTACAAATCAAAGGGACAAATTAAGGATTGGTTTAACAATTTGACTAGCCAGGCTGCTTTGCATCAAGTTAAAATCTAATACGACAAGCGGTTTTGTTTAGTTCACTACGTAGCGATTTAAGATTTGGATGAAGAAAAAACCTTCCTTTCTCAATATTGTGCTGCATTGTGTTTTAATTGTATTTTTTTCTTTTATCTTTTTAATTTTAAAAATATATCATATTAATTAAAATTAATAAAAATATAAAAAAAATTAATTAAAAATAATAATTTTACATTTTAAAATAAAATATTATATAAAAAAAAATGTCTCTTGAGAAACATTGTCAAAAGAAACTAGTGTAGAATGACCAGTTCTGACTATTAACGTGTGCCCTTTGCTTTTGCCTCTATTAATTACCATCATATTATATTTGCCCACCCAAAAAAATATTTATACTACATTTTAGTACTTGGAAAATTGTCCGCTCTAATGGCTGAACTCCTCTCTAACAACAACTGTAGTTGACTGATTGTACTATTAGTAATTTTTCCTCATTTCTAAACTTTTCATTATAACAAAGAGACAATTAGTGATTAGTAGTGTTTGAAAAAAAAATGTAATATTTAATCTCAAAATTACACGTTTCGAAGGAGTATTTATTAAAACTATATATACAGTTTTGAGTTAATGACCGCAAAAAAAAAAATTTTTGATTGTTAATCTTTACAGGTAGAGTATCCGCTGGATGATTCATTTACTCTAGACCAAAATTCCAAGCAATGGAAATACAAATCTTACAACTTCACCGTCGCCCATTTTTGGACAACGCATCTGGTCAGGACCAAAGAAGTTGATGGCCCCTCCAACTTCACCCTCATCAACCTCTACCTGGATGAGTCCGATCCAAATTGGACCTCCCATATTAGAGAATTCGACTACATCGTCATCTCCTCGGGTAACTGGTTTTTCCGGCCGTCTGTCTTTTACGAGAACAATCAGATTACTGGATGCCTCTATGGGGTCCTTGAGAACGTTCCTGTCCTCCCACTGTATTATGGATACAGGAAGGCCTTCAGGTGCGAGTTAAATTTAAATTTTATATATTTTTTTATGTATATCACCGTAATAAATAAAAATTAAATTATTTTGTAATTTAAACTATATCAAGTTATAAAATAAAAATTTTTAAATAAAAGGGTGTTAAAAAATGTACTCTTAATCAAAAGTTCATGTTTTGCAATATGATATTCTTCATACTACAAAAATAGCTTTTTTGATAAATAAAAATTCTGAATTTAATTTGTTTATGGATTCAGGACGGCTTTCAGGACCATCAATGAGATGAAAAATTTCAAGGGCATAACGTTCCTCAGGACATTTTCATCACCGCACTTTGAAAATGGGGTGTGGAACCAAGGAGGGAACTGTGTGAGAACAGTTCCGTTTAAGAGCAACGAGACAGCTCTCGAGGGTGAGAACCTGGAGCTTTACAAGATTCAAGTGGAGGAGTTTAGGGTGGCTGAAAGGGAAGGGGAGAATACAGGGAAGAAGTTCAGGTTGCTGGACACAACTAAGGTGATGCTGCTGAGGCCAGATGGCCACCCCAGTAGGTATGGCCATTGGCCTCATGAAAAAAGGACTCTTTATAATGACTGCGTGCACTGGTGCTTGCCGGGTCCAATTGATACTTTGAATGATTTCTTGCTCGTGATGTTGACAATGGAGGAAAAGAGATCATAACACAGGAAAAAATGAGGTTTAAACAAATTTGATCCCAGAAATTTCTCAATACACAAAATAACAATTCATGAATTCATGATAAAATTGAGTGGTATATATACTACAATTTACAACATGCATGTTCGGTGTGAAACCATGTATTCTTCAAAATGGTATCTTGATGAAAACCAGTTAAGTGCAAAATGAAAATGTAGAGCACACAAAAGCATACCTGAGTGGAATAAACTTCTGTTGATTCTCATTTCAGCCAACATTGTAGTAAGGAAGCTTGTCCTGAGAGTCAACAAAATAATCAGAAACAGATCCTTTGTCAGTAGTGCCTCTTCCTAACCGATTCCTGGCAGTATTTGCCTCTAGTCTTGGATCAAACTGGGGTAAGAGGCGGCCTTCTGGTCCAGCAGCGCATACGTTGAACTTCTTTGGGATGAGCGGAGCGTAATTGGGATTCTCCGGTCATCTTCCTCCTCGTTGCTGTCCTTACCACCATTAGCTCCGATTACACCCGCTGCCCCATGCTAATAGATCTGTCGTCTCTCTTCCACCAGCACCAGGTCCATGTTACCATGTTACCATGTACCAGCTGCTGGTTTCAATGAAAGGGTCTGACCCAATTATGTCGGCCCAAACAAGAGCTGGGCTGACTTATCCAACTTATGACAATTCTCTAGCATAAGCCGGATCATAAACTCCAACTTGCCCCGTGATTAACCGTTAACCCAAGACAGCCTACGTGGCAGAAAAATTATTCAGCCGTAAATTTTTTATATAATCTTACTTAACTAACTTTTTTTCATTTAATTAAAATTCGTAATATTATATATATATTATATAAAAAATTATAAAAGAAATTATTTTCATATTATTACCCATTAAATTAAGATCAACTTAGTAATTTTTATACACTCATTTTAAAATCTAAGTAGCTAATGTAATATTTAAATTTTTAATTAATGATTTGTTAATCCAAGTTAAAAGGATTCAATTCTCCTTAAATAAAATTTTGAGTTTAAGTCTTATGAATAAGAAGATAGATACTGAGAGAACTTTTCCCTTATGGAATCCAATATAACTCGATTCTGAATTAATCGGGATCCATTGTGATTACCAAATACTAAGAAATTAATACCAAAAAATATTAAAATTTTAAAAATAATCTTGACTAAGAGTTGGCATAAAAGTTTATTAAACTTAGGTTAAAATGCCAATTTAGTCCCTCTATTTTGATTAAAAAATTCTTTTTTAGTTTCTCTAATTAAAAAAACCTCTTTTTTGGTCTCTAATGCTTAAAATTTGATCCTTTTTTAGTATTTCTATTAAGTTTTGACATTAAACGATGAAAATTTCAAAAAAGATAGACCAAAAAGGGGCTTTTTTTTTTTTTTTTAAGTAGATAACCAAATTGGGGCTATTTTTAGCTCCTTTTTTGTTTCTCTATTTTTAAATTTTTATCATTTAATGTATCATACATGTAAAACTTAATGGATGGATTAAAAAGATGTTAGACTTCAAACTTTAAAGATTAAAAAGAATTTTTTAAAGTAAAGAGACTAAAAAAAACTTTTAACCATAATAGAATGACCAAAATAGAGGTTTAACCTTAAACTCACCGCACTATGTCACGGTTAACATTTAACAAATCAAAATATAGTTTAAATTAGTCCAAATATAAATTGTGATCCACCGACACAAGTACGGACAATAAACTAGGTACATAGGTGGGAATCTAACTTGATGCTAGGCGCTTTATCTAACTAGAAGAGCAAGGCTTTATTGGTTGAGTTATTCTTTTCTTCCTTAGAGAAAAATCAAACCACACTTTAGAAAGGTTAAAAAAACTTTTTTTTTTATACTCCTTATAAAATGAAACTTCATGGACGGGAACAAAAAAACATTTATGTTAACCATCTAAATAATTTAATAATAATATTTTAATAAATTTTTTTTAAATTATATGATAAATAAATAAAATAAAATAAAAAATAAAAAAATTACTTTTTACTATGTAAGAAAAAATTATATATAAAAAAAAACAAAAATTTCATTGATTAAAGATTTTCAATTTTAATTTATTTTTTAAAATTCATTTAGGTTTTTCTTTCCCTTCATACGTGACAAGATAAAGTCCACGTATGCACATTCCACCTATAGTCATTAGATAATGATATGAAACAATTTTATTTCTATAGCACTACTATTGAACTTTCACTGGTCCAAATTAATATTAGTGGGATCCGTTCTTGATGGGGGGGTCCATTATTGATGTGGTCGAAATTAATATCTGTATTTTTATATTAAAGCAAGAGTAAGAACGATAAAGGGGGCCCCAATTTCACTTACAATCCATGTTCTCTTCTGTGATTTATCCACCTCCATTATTCATCCATGTTTCTTGAGCTTTTTCTATCTGCATTTCCTCAGATCTTTCTTGCAAACATACATTCATAAAGTTGTTCTCCTCCAGATCTTGTCTTGAAAGTAACAGCACTTCCAAATTCATGTAGTTTAAACATTGGTACTTCTTATTCAAGAAAACTTGACCCAATTGTTGTGGCTTCTTGCTTCAGTCTTTCTCCACTATGAAGTTTCATGCCGTTGAGCTTCCACTTCCACCTAATGGAATGAAGAGTCCAAACAGGTTGTTTTTCTTAGCCCTTACCCTGTTTCTCCTTACCTTAGTTCCTTTGTGTCTCTGGAATTGGGGACCGCCTTTGACATTTCCTAAGATTGACATCAGTGGCTTGAGAAAAAGCAAAGAGCAAGGTAAGAAATGTGATATCTTTACCGGACAATGGGTGCCTCACCCAGAAGGTCCATATTACACCACTAACACTTGCCGTTTGATTATTGATGAGTATAACTGCATCAAGTTTGGGAGGGCTGATACGGAATTCATGAAATGGAGGTGGAAGCCGGAGGGATGTGAGCTACCGTACTTCGATGCAGTGCAATTCTTGGAGCTTGTCAGAGGGAAATCCATGGCCTTTGTTGGGGACTCTGTAGGAAGGAACCAAATGCATTCATTGCTTTGCCTATTAGCCAAAGTAAATAACTTATCTCTAAGATCTTCTGAACAAAATTGATTCATCAGACATGCAAATAATATGATGATTTTGTAAATGTAATTTTTCAGGTGGCTACTACCGAAGATACCTCTCATAAATATTCAACAGATACAGAACATTTCCAGCACTGGTACTATGCAGATTACAACTTCAGCCTAGTGGCATTATGGTCACCGTACTTGGTTAAAACCAAAGAAGCAGACCCAAATGGGTATTCCAATGACAGCCTGATGAACCTCTACTTAGATGAAGCTGATGAAGAATGGGCAGGGCAGATTGAAAGCTACAATTATGTGATAATTTCAGTAGGGCAATGGTTCTTCCGGCCAATGTACTACTATGAGAAGGGTAAGCTTGTTGGTTGTTTCAGGTGCCCTGAGAACAACATCACAAACCTTGGCAAGTACTATGGATACAAAATGGCCTTCAGAACAGCCTTCAGGACCCTTCTGAGCCTGAAAAGCTACAAGGGTGTTACATTTTTAAGGACGTTTTCACCGGCACACTTTGACGCAGCTTGGAATAAGGGAGGGGACTGTGTGAGGACAACGCCCTACACAAGCCAAGACGAGAAGTTGCAGGACTTTCAGAGGGAATTTTACTTGACACAGGCGGAGGAACTAAGAGCAGCAGAGGAAGAAGGAAGGAGAAGGGGTTTGAAATTTGGGCTATTAAATACAACTGAAATAATGTGGCTGAGGCCAGATGGACATCCGAGCCATTTTGGGCGGTCACACAGAAATGTGACAACCAACGACTGTGTTCACTGGTGCTTGCCTGGTCCAATTGATACATGGAATGAGTTCTTGCTGTATCTGATGAAGAGGGAAGTTCTCACAAAGCTAGGAGGAAAGCTGATGCAAAATTAATGATGACAATTTACATTCAAGTGGTTTTAAGTTTGTCATGTACCATCCATTTGATTCAATTGTTAAAACTCAGCCAATAGTTTATTAGTTGTTTGCTGTTTCATGTCAAATGACTAATAAAACATTACGTATGTTAGTTAATTCTATTATTTGTTTATTTTCCTTTATAAACACGTAATTTTCATTTAAATAACAATAATAATTGATTAAAGCAAAAGTAAAAGATAAAGAAAAAGCTAAGGAAGAAATTAGTAAAAGAAAAGTAATTACTAATTAAGCCACAAAAATATGTAAGAAGAATGGTGAGGATATAACTTGGTAAAGAAAAGACCTAGCTTTTGTCTTA